TCTTGTATGTTTGTCACATTTTAATGTTTCAAATCCTCAAACGGGGCATTTAGGAAGGAACGCTGGTTTGAATGGGGAGTCGAGGAGGGCATTTACGTGAAAAGGCAAAGATCATCTCTGAATCGAGGAGGGGGCATAAGGGTACATTTTTTGCCATCTTACAATGCTGTGATTGTAGACATTCCCAAACTCTGTGATTAGTACTCAAGGCAACTAATCAATGGTCATGACAAATTGCATATTAATGATCAAGGACCTGACCTCGCAGCCCATTGTTTATTCAGTGGGCTGGTTTCAGTCCTTGTGCAATGTGCTGTTTATAAGGTTAGAGAAACCTGCAGTCAGCTGAGACTGAAGCAGTCAGTTGGATAAGTAATGTTTCTCCCTCTGACGCTACGTCCAGATGAACAGAATCAACCTTTTGGGACCTTCATTTAGAAACTCCATTTTGTCTTTACTAGTATTATTTTTGTTTGTTTTTTAAATTTGTTTGCTGTTCTGAAACACTAAAGTGTGACAAACACAAAAATAGGAAATCAGGAAAGGGGTAAACACTTTTTCACACCACTGTATGTTGGTCACGCAATGCAATTTTTTGGTGATTTTAGGGTAAAAAGATCTGGGTTAAAAAAACAGTTTCTATCTAATGATTACAATAAATATTTGCTTGCACGTAAGATTTATTGAACAGTATACAATATCAAATACATGCATTCTTTTAGAATCAGTACAGATAAGGAAGCAAGAAAGCTAAATGATATACTAGCTGATCACAGTGTGCTGGATTAATTAACATTTAAATGCTCTATGCAACAATCTCAGTTTTGTTAATCTTTTTCTTCAACAACTGCATGGTCACTTAAAATAATGAGATGTAAACATTTGTGTTTGACCAGTGTATCCTAATCCTGTATGTTAAAGGAGGTAATAAAGGAAGCACTTTAGTACCTTTCCTGAGCATTTTGAAAAATCAACACAGTCATTTTTTGTAATGACATTACTAAGGTTACAGGAAACATGACAGTAAATGCTAAACGTAAATGAACTGTTTCATGAAGAAATAAAGTATGGTGGGTGGAAGAAACACGAGAGAATTACTGAAGACAAAAATCAAAACAGGAATTTAACAATATGCACAGAAGTAATTAAAATGTTAAACATTTAACATAACAAAAAATAACAAAGAAACAACCCTGAACCTAAACTCAAACTGTAATAT